AAGGAAGGAAGGAAGGAAGGAAGGAAGGAAGGGAGGGAGGGAGGGAGGGAGGGAGGGAGGGAGGGAGGGAAGGGAAGGAAGGAAGTCTTCAATGATCCACCATTGGATCACTGCTTTTAGCATGGATACATATGTTTTTCTCAACCCCTTCCTATTGGACCATAGCCTACATAGAGAAACCAGGAATGACAGCTGAGGCTTCCTGTTTGCTTTGATGAAAATGCCAATGGATCATGAAGAGTAACAGCATCCCAAGCAGGAAATGGGGTCAGGTGGAAGGAAACCCTGGCAGTGACTAAGATAAGGCTCCACATTGGAAACTGGAGCTACTCTGAGGCCCTGGGGGTCTGTGGTGTGGGGGCTTTGGAGAGACACACCTGCTTCGAGCACTAGCCCCACCTCTACCAGCATTTTGTATGTCTGAGGTTCAGGTTTCCTTGTTTTAAAAATGGGGAGTCGACCACTTGCCCCATAGGGTGAGGACTAAATTAGATAATATAGATAAAGTAGATGATATAGATAAAAATGCTTACACAGGGCTTGGCAAGGATGGTAACAAAACCATTTTCATGCATGACTTGTGGCATCTATCTAACCATTCAACAGATCTTATCCCATAGAAAACATGCTGTAGACAGACCCAACACCAAATGTCCCTCTTCTTATTTACGCTTCCCAGATGCCGAAACCAAAATGTATTCAAACTTTCTAAATGTTTTTTTCTTTTTAGACACAACAAAAGATTAGAAAAAAACCAAAAAGATATCCCATAAATACCCACTATCAACATACTCATGAATTTCTTGAGAAGATCATTACCTGTTGGTTGGATCCTCAGAGCTGTTTGAGCTGTCCGCTTTCTTGTGATTAAAGTCCAGGTTTCATCTGGATCCTGAATCCATTCAGTTGCCTCACAGAACAGCTGGCCTTGATCTGAGGGCTGGAGCCTCCCTATGGACAGCCTGAAGGTGGCGACCCCAAGCTTGCTGAGCTGGACGTCACCAGCCGCAAACCTCTCTGTATATGAGGGCCCAGGGGTCAACATGAAATCTTTGGAGAGGGAAATAATCTTGGTAGTTTGGTTTCTTTCTCCATCCTGCATCAGGTACCAGGTGACAGAGAGGTGGGTATGCTGAGCTGTGGCTTTGGATGCTTCACAGGTAAGTTCTAATGATTCGCCTTCCTCCTTACAGAGAGTCTGGGGACTCATGGTGGCAGAGAGGGTATCTGGAATAACTGGAAGCAAAGGAATGATGGTAACTGACTGGTCCAGGAACCTGTCGGACAAGCCTGCTTGGATGAAGATGGCGCCCTGACCCACCATCCGTAAAGCACTTACTTTCAGTTGTTTTTCCACCAGTCATATGCTTTCCCTATTGCCAAGGGGAACATTGGCATCTGTATACACAGTCTGTGGAACTTGGCAAAACTAATGGCTCAGTGATGTATTGACCCCAACTTTACATTCTTAGCATAGGCTGTGACCAATTTAGCTACTCAGACACAGAGTATTTAAAAGGGAAGAGCACTGGGAGCTAGAAGACCTAGATTCTGATCCTAAATCTGTCCCTATTTGACTACAGGAATTGGAGCGAGTCACTTCACCTCCTTACGCCTTAACCTGCTTCTTTGTAAAGTTCTGAAATAATCTCTTAAAATCATTCAGAGCCAAAATGCAACCCTTACCAAAGTTTTGATAACCATCCTACTACCCTATCATTGTATTCTTCCTCAGAGGAAATCACACAGCCTAAGCTTATGGGAAAGCAACACTTAGATTCAATCAGTGAAGGTTTATTGAGCAGATACTCGGTGCTAGCCACCGGGCTAGGGGCTGAGATAACTATTCTCCTGGAGCTGGAGGTGTGGAAGGAGTCATATAAGTAGCCAAATACCACATACACTGGGTGAGTGCTAATAATAGCGATGTGAATAGAGCATCAAGAGGAAACAAAGATGGGAATACAGCCTGAGACAGGACGGATTTCACAGAAGAGGTAAGATCTAAACTGGGTCTACAAGTATATGTGGGAGTTGGCTAGACTGAAAAAGGGGTGCTAAGATATTCTAGGCAAAAGGGGCAAAATGGTAATTGCAAAGACTATGAACCTTTCTGTCTATGTGAATATGCTAGAGATTAGTAGTTTGGGAATATCCATTTCCAAGTGAATGACTTACCACTTGATCATATTAACTCCAGCTCTCTTACCACGTTAACGTCCTGCCTCCAAGAAGAGATATGACATGGGGAGAACTCCCAGAGTTTTGTCTGATGCTGTTACTACGATCACCCGGTGGCTAGCTTTGGACAAGGCCTTCGGAAGACCACATGCTATCTAAAGCCTGGCGGCAAAGTTGGCAGCAAAGATGATCTGAGAGTTTTAGAGAAGGGGAGATACCCATTTGTGACCCAACTGCAAAATATCCAGAGGGCTTCCAGGGCTCTCTTGCCAAAGCAAGGACATGATGCGAAGCCATGTCACATGGCACAAGGCATTGTCATGGTGGGGCTCTGGCTTCTGAGGGGCTGGCAGGCACAGCTTACCAATTAGCCTAGTCTTCGCGCTGTAATTGCCGTAGTATCTTTCATCCGTGTTGGGTGTGTGACACTCATACTCGCCAGAATCCTTTGGCTGGAGCTCTGAGATGTGCAGGAAGACTGAGTTGCCCCGGACCCTCTCCACGTAGATCCCCCTGCTTCGCACCCGCTGTGCGTACACCGCGTAAGAGAAGGTGGCATCCTTGGTGCTCACAATCTGGACTTCTTGGGTCGGGGCTTTGGGCAGGTAAACAGACCACTGGAAATGCTGCTCAGCAGGTCCCTGGTGGCCAGTGACATTGCAGCCAATGCTGATGGGGTAGCCTGCAGCCCGAAACAGCGGTCCTTTCTGGACGGTCACTTCTCTCTGGCCAAGGCTGAGCTTAGCTTGCAAGGAGGAGAAAGAAAGAAAGGGGAATAAAAATAGATTAGCCTGGGCGCCTGGGTGGCTCAGTCGTTAAGCGTCTGCCTTCGGCTCAGGTCATGATCCCAGGGTGCTGGGATCGAGCCCCGCATCGGGCTCCCTGCTCAGCAGGAAGCCTGCTTCTCCCTCTCCCACTCCCCGTGCTTGTGTTCCCTCTCTCGCTGTTGAAAAAATAAATAAAATCTTTAAAAAAAAATAGATTAGTGCTCCAGTCCCCAGTGTGCCACCTTATTGCAACGCCCTGTATTAGAGTTCTAGTAAATGAGATCACAGGGTATTAGCTATAATCAACTCAAATGTTCATACACCTCCTTCAGGCTGAGGAGCGGTGGAATGGCTTGGTGAGTTCACTGGTCTTTCATAACTTCAACTTCCATAGTAATTCTTAGTCGCTTAAAAAAAAAAGGTTAGCTTCAACAGTATGATGACTATTATAACTGATAACACTTAGTGCCCTGTGTTATCTAAGGGCACTTATTTTAAAGTCAATACGATGCATGATAATTCACCTTTTACATTATTTTGTGGGAAAAGTCAGCAAATTCTTCCTTCCGACTCTCACTCCTGGCTCCCTGTCAGGCTGTTCCCTCCGAGATTGCTGGAGAAGGAAAATCTACCCACACCACCCATGGTGCCACACTTTCTCTGTCTTGCTAGCTGGTTGGAACTATTTGTAGCTCCTGGCCAGGTCTAATGCAGGACTAGCTAAAATTAGCAGCTGAAGAGGCAGCGGCACTTCCTTTCTACACTGTGGAGGGTTTTTTTGTTTTGTCATTTTTTAAAGTGCCACTACAGCTTTATTAAAAAGGCTTCGTAAAAGACGGCCTGTCAAGTCCGCCAGGATCTGGGCTCAGAGTCACTTCAGTTCTTCTCCGACCAAAGGCATTCAGTTGGGACGACTACGGAGTGTTTCCTGTTGAGACAGATCTCAAGTATTCGGTTTGCAAGAGAAAACATTCTCAAATGGCAACATTTTCTTTTGATGTGCATGTGTTCAAAATCAGACATTTTGCAGAAATGAAAAATGCATGTGTTTATGGATTAGGCTAATATTCAAGGCTAGTTTGTGTTACATAAAGAGCAAAGAGCAAATGACAGAGATGCCCAAGGGTGAGCCCGATCTTTCACTAGGGGCCTGGGGCCCAGTGGAAGGGGAAGAGGAGGGGAAAGACATCAGAAGAGTCCCATGGGGAGCAATTGCTGGTATTGTGGAATGACCAGAATAGAGCTCAGAAGAAGGTATGGAAGAAGGCCCCTGGGTGGTTCAGTCGGTTAAATGTCTGCCTTGGACTCAGGTCATGATCCAGGGCTCCTAGGATCAAGTCCCGAGTCAGGCTCCCTGCTCAGCGGGGAGTCTGCTTCTCCCTCACCCTCTGCCCCTTCCCCTGCTTGTGCTCTCTCTCTTTCTCTCAAATAAATGAATAAAAATCTTAAAAAAAAAGAAGGTATGGAAGAAGCAGAGTATCTGCTGAATTTTGCAAATCCACAAGAAGAGCAAGTAAAGGAGACTAGAGTGGAAAAAAGTGAGAGAAAGTCTCTCTTTCTCATGATAAGGCCGAGGAGAGGAATTTTGGAATGGAAACAATTCCAATAGAAGGGGGCTACAAAAAAAAGGGGGGGGAGAAAGGGCGAGTGGTCATTCGAGGCAGTCCACCAAAAATTGCCTATTGAATGCTTCATGCAAAACTGGAAAACAAACATCCCACCAACCACACACATTTCCAGTAATAATTAAAATATACCAATTTATTTGTAAATCCCAGTTAATGTGATATATTGATATTATGCTCTTCTAATAAATACTGAGGAATATGTAGGAAAAATGTAACTTATTAATTACCAATTATTCAACAGAGACAACTTAAAACTTTTCCAGCAATGCCAGTTAGACTTAGACATATATCTGAGAGAAATGTGCGCACTGGGCACCAGGCTATATATGGAAGAATACCCACGACAGCACTGTTTGTCGTAGCCCCATCTTGAGACCACCCATATGTCCATCCGCAAGAACAGACACACTGTGGCACATCCATAAAATGAAATATTATACATAAATGAAAGTGAAAGAATTGCAACTGGTTGTATTGTGGATGATTGTGTTTAATGAAAGATGCAGTATGTGGAGAATCTTTTCGACGCTCTACAGAATGATTCCCGTCTTTATCAAATTTAAAAACAGGCAAAACCAAACTGTATTGTCTAGTAAATGCAAACAGAAGACCACTTAAAAAAAAAGAAAAGCTAAGAAGTGGTTATAATGGGAGTCAGGACAGTGATTGTGGCGGGAAGGGCTGTAATCGGGAGGGGGCTCACGGCACAGTGGCTGGGTACTTCTAGGGTCCTAGCAGTCTTCTGTTTCTTGACCTGGATAGTGACGACATGGTTTTTACTCTCCTTCTGCCCCTCCCCCGCTGCTCTCTCTCTCTAAATAAATAAATAAATAAAATCTTAAAAAAAATAGAAATAAGGGTATCAGGAAGAGACTGTTGTGTTCAAGAGTAAGGGAGGAGATATTGTGTTTGATTTTGAAAATACTAAATTTGAATACCATAAATTAAACAGGAAGTATATCCAGCAAACATTAGGAAATAATATTTAAATATACATATATTTGTACTTTGACGTCTACTCAACCCTTTGAAAATCTTTGTAATCTAATCCTTTTGAGAAGTCTGTGATACTCCCACATTTAGCAATGTCAAACTTGTAAATGGTTGAGCCTGACTTGAACCTAGATTTGCAAATGTGAAATCCCTGGCTGTCTCCATTGCTTCCCACTGCTTCCTGTGAATGCCTGTTTATAACCACGGAAGGTTCTGGGCCATGGGTGCAGATTAGGTTGGTTACAGAGCTGAGCAGTGTTAGGGAATACAAGGAGGAGAGCTAAAGAGAGATTACTGGAGGGTCTCTGTATTTAGGGGATAGGATGAGGAACACACCTAGGGAAGGAAGAGCGAGGGAGATAGGAGAGCTGCCAGGATGTAGTAGCTTAGAAACCAAAGGAGGAAAACATGTTCCACAAAAGGGCTTGTCTGGGGGCGCCTGGGTGGCTCAGTCGGTTAAGCGTCTGCCTTCAGCTCAGGTCCCAATCCCAGGGTCCTGGGATCGAGGCCCACATTGGGCTCTTGCTCAACGGGGGAGCCTGCTTCTCCTTGTCTGTGCCCCGCTTGTGCTCTCTCTCTCTCTCTCTCTCTATCAAATAAATAAATAAGTAATCTTTTTTTTTTTTTTAAAGGCCTTGTCTGTTTGCTGACAGCTGCTGTGAGGGTAAGGACCCTAAAGTCAGGGGACAGTCCTTTTAGTTTGATGAGGAGATCTTCGCAAAAGAGATTTCAATAGAGCAGAGGCCATGGATTTCAAGGGTGAGAAGGGCAGGTAGCGATGGCAGGAGACGGAGACCACTTCAGGAAGCTTTGTGGAGCCGGGAAGCAGAAGATGAGGGTGGCAGCTGGCAAGTGTAGCTCACAGGGGAGCAGGAGCAGGGGCCGGCTGGACATGCTTAAGGGCAGAGGAGCTGCAGAGGGGAGAGGTGGATGACGCCCGAGAGGGTCATGAACGGAGGAAGGTCCTAGTAGAGGCATGAGGTCATGAACCTGAGGGGGAAGGTACTGCTTGCTCAGAAAAGTGCGGCAACGGCGTGGAAGTTTCATAGGTATTTTTGATGCGGAAAGAAATGGTTGACAGAGGTCAACTCAAATGGCTATGCATTGGGACCAGACGCTGAAGCATCTTTTATAAAGATATTCTCTGTGGGAGATGTTGTACCTACCTCTCCTCCTCCTCCGGAGTACAATACTTCAGAGGGCTGTTCTGTTGCTTTCTCTTCTAACAGACAGAGGGTTAGAACCCTTTGCATAGCAGCTCAAATTCTCACTGACTGATGGACACACAGCTGGGCCCTAACACACCGTACTGGGGCTACTACTTTTGAAATCCAAACAGTTCTCTGATGATACTAGCTTTTTTTCAGAAAGATCACCGGGATTGCCGAATTTACCACTACAGTATTATTTAAATGGAAGCTGTTAGGTTGGATCATATAAAATGGCCCATAATTGACCATTTTTTTAAAAGATTTATTTATTTTGACACAGAGAGAGAGAGAGAGAGAGAGAGAGAGAGCATAAGCAGACGGAGGGGCAGAGGGAGAAGCAGACTCCCCGCCGAGCAGGGAGCCTGACGCAGGACTTGATCCCAGGACCCTGGGATCATGACCTGAGCCAAAAGCAGATGCTTACTGAGCGACCCAGGCACCCCAACAATTGACCATTTTTGATACACAAAAACAGCAACTTCGAATGATTCCACATTAGACAAAACCTCTCTGCTGGAGAATATCAAACACAATAAGCAACATCTCTTTCCTTACATGTACGAAACCCTAGGCCCTTGAAGGCGGAGAGAGCTTCCAACCAAAAACATTTTCTTCTATGAAAACAGTCTCAGTAAGATAAAAAAAAAAATGGGTCCCTCCCTAGCACCCTCCCACATTAATGGTTTTTATATGTGGGGCAGCTAGTCAGGGTGAGGGGTGACGGATCTAGATCAGGGAGACAAAGCTGAGTGCTACGTCCAAGAGCTCATTCACCAGTAACATTAACTCATCGAGTGCCATGTTCTAACAGAACTAATCAGTCTTTATGTTTATTAAAAAAATTAATTCGGACAAAGTATACCTTTGCTAAACAATGCAACCAATCAATTGATCGGCATTTAATCTCCTCCCTTATTTATAATTTTCCCTCCATAGTTGTCAGGACAAATAGCAGGCTTCCAAAGTTCTTTCGAGTTGCTTCCTGATTTATATGCCCTTCACATAAAAACCGTGGTTCTATACAAAATGAGTGCTTTAGAGTGAGTCAGAACTTAGAAGCAATAAATACATGCCCCAGTTTGGATAATTGTTTATGTGGGTTAAGGAAAAGCTTCCAGCTTCCCTTTTTTGAACCTGGTTACTACTTGCCTTCACCCCAGGCTTCCAGCCTGCTCACCAGAATTTAAAAGAAAAAGCGTGTGAAGGAGAGAATTTGCAATGTCTGACTTGTTGCACAATGTACACCCTGTTTTCCCCTCTACACAAGCCAAACACACAGTCCAAATACACAAAGCATGTCTACTTAAGAATCACACTCTAAATAAATAAATAAAATTTAAAAATAAATAATCACACTCAACAGCTGAACAGGACAAATAGGAATGTGCCAGCCACCAATACGCCCAGCCATTGATACTTGCGAAGCCAGTCTGGTGGCCACCCATCACCCAGCAGCTAACCGATCCTCGTAACTAGCCCTGCAGGCCACCTCTCACCCCATCAGGCCCCAGATCTGATCCCTACCTCACACAATCTAACGTCTGCTGAGACATGAACCCGGTTCAGTTCAAGCCAATGTTTATGAAGCACGCCATTGTGCTGAAGGCTGTCACTTCTTCATGCGTTAGCCGCAGGTCTGGCCACACTGCTGATTAAGTTCACTTAGTTCCCCTACCATTCCAGTCACTCAAGTACCCACACGAGCTCAACCTAGTCTCTACAGCAGTTCTTAACCAGGGTCCACACACAGGATTAAAGGGTCCATACACTCATGTGAAAAAAACCCCTACATGTTTATTTTCACTAGTCTTAATGAAAATCTAGCATTTCCTCCAGTCATGAAGGTAGACAACAAACCTAGATATGTTCACATCACATTATAGTTGTTGCAGATATCTTGAAATATGATTCATACTCATTACTGCTTTGAAGTTTGGTGGTTAACAGACCATCTCTAGATCTTGTGATGGAATCCGTAAAGAAACCAATAAATGACTATATCACCATTTAAAACGATGCTGATAATTGCATTTCAGTATGATGGATTTCCCCTATAATCCTATGCATTTTATTTTAGGCATTTAAAAAATTATTCAAAGTTGAGATCTATAGGCCTCATCGGATGCTAAAGGAACCCATAGCACAAAAATGTACCTGCTACCTGCTCTGGAATGATTCCATTTCCAGCCAAGGTCACCTGTTCTCCTGTCTACTTCCAAATCTCCCCTTCCTCCACCCTGTTATAATATGTTTAAGTGCTCCTGGGCCAGCTAAGACCCTCCGTGTGACCTTTAGTAGAGCCCCGTGAATCTTCTGGCCCTTTCTAAGTCCCTCGGATGGATTCCCACTTCAGCTCCCAGGGATGTCCAGCACCTTCTTTTAGCTTCGCCTCAAACTACTAAGTGCTCTCATCACTTTCCCTTCCGTCCAGCCACATCCCCAAGGCAAACACAACAGACAAGACGTAAGGTCACCTCTCAGTCTGGCGAGCTGAGCCCTCACTCGCTCCAGGGATGGGTTAGCCCAGGAGGATAAGGTAAAGTCGGGAAAGCACAGACAAATGTGAACATCAGTGGGTCCAGGTTCACAGACTCAGCCAAGCACTGCACCTCCCTGGAACTCAAGGACGCCATGGTAAACCAGGAAACCATTACCGGTAAGTCAAAAATTAGTGCCCACACCTGAGATGTGTGGCACAATTTTTGCCTGTAAATACCAAACTGTCCTCCTCTGCCGCCCAGCAGCCTCCTGTTGACTAGCTCCTGGGACAAAAGAGACATGCAGAATTATGACACTTACTCAGAAAGAGAAAGAAAGATGCCACATGTGGGATGTGTGCCATTTGGCCCAGTACAGACCTTTCCTCGTGGTGTCACTGAAGTTGCTCAGACACGGAGTGACAAACGCTGTGCTCTCTCTACAAGGGTAAAGAGGAAGCAATGGTGTGGTTTGCAGAGCACTGGGAAACACAGATGGCTTGCAAAGAGCAAAACCATTTGCGTCATATGGTTCTTTGCTAATCACTTGAATCTGGGTGAGAAAAGTGAGTGATATTCATGGGTAAGTAAGTGTATACAGATAAAAATGAGAAAAGGTGAGTCTCATCCTGGCTAAGTGTGCATCATTAGGTCATCACAGGGGAATGTAGGTAAACCAAATAAATACAAAAATCAAGCAGAAATGTTCTCTTCTTAGCCCTTTCCTCTCCCAAGAGGGAAGGACTAAGAAAGGCAGAAAGGGCCCCTGGAAAACACGAACATGGGGAGACACAAGGTGGTGGTAGTGGCGACAGTCTCGTAAGCCAGGCTGCCTGGGTTTGCATGCAGATTCTATTTTCAATTAGCTGTGTGACCTTACAAAAGTTACTGACCCTCCTCTGTATAACGGAGATGCTAACAGTATGTACCCCATCAGATTGCTGTGTGGGTTGAATGAACTCATTCACGTCAAGCACTTAGAATGATATCTGGTACATGGTAAGTGCTCAGTGAATTTCAACAGCCATCATGTGACATTTAAGTGAGTCTTCATCTGCCCAAGATGGGCCTGGCACCAAGGATGGCGAGTAAATACCTAAATCTAACAGGTGGCACTGAACCCAGGCCAACTTAATCCTGCTTAATCCTGGAAGACAAGATCATATAAGGAGGGGCTCCCCGAAGATATTAGTTCCTCAGGTCAAGGCTACATCTAGATAGGCCAGTAATAAACACGTGTGCTTCGGGCCAGAGTTGCAGGCAGATTCCTACTCCATCCATCCACCCAACCATTTTTTAGTACTTCTATGTTCTGGGTGCTTTGGTAAATTCTGCATGTATGAAGATATTAACAGCCCAGTCTTTGTTCTCAGGAAACTTCCACTTAGTCAGATAACCACAATGCAATGTTGCAAGCACAACCATCAATGTAGCCCCTAAATGGAGTGAGAAAGGTTGGTGGGCAGGAGGGAAGGTCAGGATGGGCTGGGCCGGGCCAAATGAGACAACTAGGGAGGAAGGGGGGCAGGTACAGCTGGGGGAGAAGCAGCCTAGTGCCAGTAATGATGCACCAGCCACGCCTTCCTGTTTGAGTAAAGTTTGAGGCTGGTATGAAGGGAGCAGTATCTATAGGGGTAGGCTGGGGCAAATCTTACTGCACCATGAATGCCAGGCCTAGGACTTTGGCCTTTATCCCATAGACAAGGGGAGATTTTGAGGTCTTCTTCTTCTCCTTCTTTTTCTTCTTTAGGAGGAGAATGGCCTGATTGGGTTTTCCTTTTGATTTGGATTCCATGTTGTGTATTGCTAACTGGTTGAAAGATGAGGGAGGGAAGCAAGGTTAGAAGCAGGAAGGCCAGTTACGGGATTTTTGCAGTTTTCCATATAAGCAATGATGAGGTCCTGAATTAGAGCATTTAAAATATTGCAGAGGAATAGCTAGAGATGCATTTGGAATTAGAGGGTAGCCTCTGATCTTAGGATCTTCTGTCTGGGATGGTGGAGCATGGTGGAGGCGAGCAGGAGCACGACTGGCTCTCACACAAGGTAAGTTAGGTGAGGTCGCCTAGAACAAATACAGATAAAGAGGTACGGACATTTGAAGGCAGGAGAGAGCACAGCTGATTCAAGGTGAATGGGAAATCAGGCCAATCTTCAGGGGAAAGGTAACATTTTAAGACAGGATTTACTTTCCCAGTGGCCATATAGTAGGGTAACATTCAACAAATTCAGGTCTGGAAGCCTCTAACTTCTACCCCTCTTTAAGTTTTCACTTTCTCCCCCTCTGGATTTATTTAGTAGTAGCGATGGTATCTAAAAATTAACACTCCACGGTCAGTCAAACTACACATGTTAATGTCTTTAGTGAAAAGCTCTGTACTTCCCTTTTCAAGGTACTATGCAAGGGTTTAGCTTAATAAACAACCGTAGATAAGAAACAGTAGTCAGTCGGCATGAGCTCCTAACCGCATGGGCCTCTCCACAACACTTGAGTGCCCTCACAACATGGCGGCTGGCTTCTCCCGGATTGAATGATCCAAGAGAGACAGACCAAGGAGAAGATGCAGTGCCTTTTATGGACTAGTCTCAAAGTGACACATTATCACTTCCACCCTATTCTATTCATTAAAAGTGAATCACTAAGTCCAGCCCACACTCAAGGGGAGGGAAACTAGGCTGTGCCTTTTGAAAGGAGGAGTGTCAAGAATTCGTGGATATATTTTAAAGCCACCACAAACCTACACCTACATTTAAACAATTTTTAACATTTTTCTATATGTGCTTTATCATACGTGTGTGTGAATATGCATTTGTTAGAGAGAAAGGAAGGAAGGAAGAGAGAAAGAGAGAGAGAAGAGAGGGAGGAAGGGAGAGAAGGGGAGGGGAGGGGAAGGAAGGAAGGAAGAGTAACCAAATAAGGGAGCATGTGTTGAGTATCTAATTTATGGCTTAAACAAGAAATATCCTAAGAGTTAATAGGCTGTAGGGGCTACTGCAGGCAGGGAGCAGCTACAGGTCATTCAGAAAAGGCTGGTTTTAAGTAGGTCCTTGGGGATCTGGTCTGATTCAAATAGGCAGAGGAGGGCGGGAAGGAAATTCCAGTAGGGAGAAATGAAATGTACAAAGATACGGAGGCACGGATGTGCAGGTTATATTCAGGGAACAATTAAAGGGTAGTTTACCTTGAATGGGCATTGCAAACTACCTCCCCAGGCTGTTGACTATAATATCAGTGGGGCTTGAAGTACAGTAATTTGTCCATCATTCCAGTTGGAGAAATCATGGGTCATCCCCGGGCACCAAAATTTTAGGCAAATATACCCTATCAGTTAGTTATTGCTATAACAGCAAACATTCATTTTTGTTCACAAGCCTGTGGGTCACCTGTCCTGGAACAGCCTTGGATCCCTCTCCTATCCCTCCAATAGGCTAGCCTGAGCAGGTTTTCACCATGATGTCAGGGGTCCAAGAGAACTCGTGGGAACACAACAGCACTTTTTACAGCTTCTCTTTTTCTCATGGCTGCTAACACCTCATAGATCAAAGCAAGTCACATGGCCAAGTCCAAATGCAAGAGACAGATTAACAGGCTCCATCTTTTTAGTGAGGGGAACTGCAAAGTGACAGGGCAAAAGGAGAAGTAAAGAACTAGAACCACCGATGCAGTTAATTTGCAGGCAATCATGCACTTTTGAAAAGAGAATTCTTTGAGAGGTGAGCACTGACCACAGAGATGATCATTGCCAATCATACATAGTATCGGTATTCCCGAAATACTTTCAACCAAATAAATCTTATACAACTTCTCATTTCTAGCCGTTGCCAAAAAAAAAAAAATTTTTTTTTTCTCTCTTTCCATTTTAAGTGGCTCCATTTCTGCCAGAATTAACATTGACAGAGTGATGTCGTTTCTTTTCTGGAGCAAAAAAAGAAAAAAAGAAAAAAAAAGCAGTTTTCTGTTGTCAGGGGGGAAAAAAGAAGAAAGAAAAAATAGAGCCAGAAAGAGAGTGTTATTCTATTACCTTGGGAATCACTGCATTGTAATTGTAGCAGCTGAAAAGAATGTAAAAACACATTCCTGAGTCGGATGGAGGGAGAGAGCCAGGAATGGACAAAGCGACACAGGAATGTACTAAAGAAAAAATTCTGTTCCAGTTCCTGGAAGATTAATAAAAAAGAATTTTTTTTTTTCAGATTTGACATGCACAAATATTCCACAGAAATCCCAGGTATTGTGGCCTCCTCTCTGAAGCATGCGGGCCCAAAACTATTTCAACAGGGACATTTTCACATAGGCAATTTTATAGGAGAGCTCCCATCACCATGTGACAGGTATTAGAAATCCCATTTTACAGATGAGGAAACTGAGGCTCAGAGGAATCACCTGGCCCAGATTGTATGGCTAAGAAATGGCTGTCCTCTTGTTCTTGGCTTGGTGCTTTTATTTTATTTTTTAAATTTTAATTCCAGTATAGTTAACATACAGTGTTATATTAGTTTCAGGTATACAATATAGCTTTTCAACAATTCCCCACATCACCCAGTGCTTACCATGATAGGTGCACTTCTTAATCCCCATCCTCCCACCCACTTCCCCTCTGGTAACCATCAGTGTGTTCTCTATAGTTCAGAGTCTATTTCTTGGTTTGTCTCTTTTTTCCCTTTATTTTGTTTCTTAAATTCCACATGAGTGAAATCTTACGGTATTTGTCTTTCTCTGACTTATTTCGCTTAGCATTATACCCACTAGAGCCATCCATCCTGTTGCAAATGGCAAGATTTCTTTCTCTTTCATGGCTGAGTGATATTCCATGGTATATACATACCACATCTTCTTTATCCTTTCATCTGTCAATGGACAACTTGGGCTGCTTCCATAATTCAGCTTGATGCAAATGATGCTGCAGTAAACATAGGAATGCACATACATTTCTGAATTCGTGTTTTGGTATTCTTTGGGTAAACACCCAGCAGTGGAATTACTAGATCATAGGGCAATTCTATTTTTAACTTTTGAGGAAACTCCAGTTTTCCACAGTGGCCGCACCAGTTTGCGTTCCCACCAACAGTGCGCGAGGGTTTCCCTTTCTCCACGTCCTCACCAACACTTGTTTCTTGTGTTGTTGATTTTAGCCATTCTGACAAGTGTGAGGTGATAGTTCTCTTGCCATTCTACCTTCTAGCTTGCCATTCATGATTTCAGAAGACAGAATGTGTGTGGGATACAGTGCGACTGGAGGATGGTAAAGAAAACCCCCAAGGGGTCAGCAGGAAGCTGGGCATGATTCCCCCTGCTTGAGCTCTTACAATTCAGGTTAAATTGAGGGTCACTCCGCAAGTGCTGAACTTCCCAACATACAGGAAGCCCAGGGACTGAGCCTACATTCATGGAACATCAAGCAGTGACCCCACAGGAAGGGATCGCCGTGACTTC